ATTCAAGGTAAGTGCACAGTCCTGTCGTACAGGCCACTTTAGGTGGTTCCGACTCGTAGGTGACCCGGGATTATTCGCCCAGCCTTCACGTGATCGTAGCACTTGAGCGTATTTATTTACACGCAGTCATGTTGTACAGACCATTTTAGGTGGTTCCGACTCGTGTGCAGGTATACTTATTGAGCTATTAGCTAGCCAGGATTGATGAGATATGGATAAGTCATACAGGTCACTATAGGTGACTCCGACTTATATGCTAGCCATGATTGACGAGATATGGATAAGTCGTACAGGTCACTATAGGTGACTCCGACTTATATGCTAGCCATGATTGATGAGATACAGATAAGTTGTACATGTCATTTTAGATGACTCTGACTGATATATCACTTTGTATTGATTTAGTTCATTTGCCTACTTATTAATGTATGGTGGATTTGATGGCAAACCGTGGTTTTGGTCATTTCCGAGTATGGTTTGGATATATGTATATATGTTGTATTGTCTTATGGAAAACGATACGGGTTTTACATTTAGGGGCATTACTTTTAGAGAGGTAGTAACTTTGGGAAGCTTGGTTTTATTGCTTACTCACACCTTCTGTTTGGTGCCCTCCAAGTTTTAGCTGCTGAGTTTGTATCGACAAGAATCTGTGGCGAATCTTAGTATTGATGGATATTTTTGAGGGTATGATTCTTACCCACATTACTGTACATTACTTATGCTCTGACATCGCGCGTGAAATGGGTTCGCTCCCACTCGTAGCGTACTCTGGTATTTAGACACTTTTAAATTCAAATTCATTCACTTTTTATACACTATCACATTTTATGGCTTCGTCACCTTCCAAGTGTCGGCTAGCACAACTCGATTCAGGGTCGAAGTGGACTTTCTGGGTCGGGGTGTGTCAACGCCCTCACGGTTTTGTTTCTGGGAACTCACACGAGAACTTTCCAGTGGGTCACCCATCTTGGGATTGCTGTCGCGCAAACTCGCTTAACTTCGGAGTTCCAAAGGAACCCGAAGCCAGTGAGTTCCCAAAAGGCCTCATGCTATAGGAGGTGAGCATGTACATACAAAGCATAGAGGATCCACTCTCCTGTGCGATGTGAAATGTTACAAAAATGCATTATACAGAAAAGAGGATAAATTCAAAAATTATTTTAATTTTAAAAAATAGAGGTGACTATTGATCAAAGAACTTTAATTAAATTTTAAAAAGGCACAGATGTTTAATCTAAATGATATAGAAAAACTGTAAAAGATTCTAAGTTTCCCTTTTTTATTTACATTGGAAATCAAGGGCAAATATGACTAACCGGTAAGCTTATGGTTGGGTGATTTTCCTCATCTAGCTCTCAGCTTGCAAGAGGGACGTCTTCCAGAGAACAATGGTTGGAGATGAAGTACTTAGAGACCGTGTTCCAACAATAATAATTTTTTTATTTAGGTTCAATATAATTGTACGAATATTTCAGTTTTAATATAAATTAAATAATTTTTTATATTGTGATTTCTTTTGAGATTAATATAATTAAAACTAAATAATTAAAAATTTTACGCGACCACTATCTTCATCGAGCATGTGTTTGTATTTTTTATTTATTTTTCTTTAAATTCCTTGCCCACGACTGCTTTGTCGAGTAATTTTTTTTTTATTTCCCTAAAAATACGACTTTGCCAGACTAAATAGTGGAAAAAATTGTTGGACAAATTGTACAATTTTCGTTTTTATGATACTATTCTAGCTTAACAATAAGTTTTAGTGACCAAATGCTAACATTGGGCAAGTTTATATTTGTCAGGTCAAGTTGGTCATTGTACTTGGCTCGAAGAAATTGTCATCGGGCAAACAGTATTTGTCTGACAGGGTTTTAATATTCATCGGGTAGACATTTAGCGACGATTTTGTTCTAAAATTGACAGACGAATTTCTGTCAGGTAAAACATTAGGCGACAAAACTTTAATCCGCCCAAACCCTTTTGCCTGAGGGGTATTTTCTTTAGCGCTAGATTGTCTAATCTTATCGCGGAAACCAAAAACTCAAAAATAAAATAGAGCGGGCCCTTAAATGGTACAAAACAATGGTGAAAATATTTTGCTAACTAATTGATATTTGAAAGAAAGATACATAAAAATGGTTCAATGCATTCCACAAAACATGGAAGAGAAACAAAAAAGAAATGGACTACTAAATACTCGTTTAGAAATGCTTTTAAAATGATTGAAATATTTTAAAGAAAATATTTTTGAGTTCAAAAGTACTTTAATTGATACTTAAAATTTTTTTGAGTTTAAAATGATTGAAAGATTTTAGAGAAAATATTTTTGAGTTCAAAAGTACTCTAACACTATGTTTGGATGAAAAAATTTAAGATTACTAAGAAATTTTAAAATGACGGAAATTGAAATGACGAGATTTTATTTTCTAGAATTTGTGAATTTTCTTGTTTGGTAAACCTAAAAGAATAATGGAATTGAATACGGAATTTGTTATTTCTAAACTCTAAATCACAGAAATTGGGAAATGACACATATTTACATGGAATTTCAACTTAGGAATTGGAGGTCCCAAATCCCAAGTTTTTTTCCATGCGGAAATTCTAAATTTCTATGTTTATGAAACCAAACAAGGAAATTGGTGTATGTCAATTTACAAATTCTGATTTTTACTTAAATTCCAAGTTTATTTTCCTCATCCAAACATAATGTAAGTGTTTTCTGCAATAAGTAACATTTATGTAATTCTTGTATGAAGCACTTCAAGTGCTCTTTCAAGATTCATTTACATTTTTATTAAAGATTGGTTCAAAAAATATTTTCACAAAAAACGCTTTTAACCATTTTAAAAGTACTTATAAATGAGTCATGAGACTTTTTTAACTTGCTGTTTTAACTGATCTTTGTCTGAATATTAGAAATAAAATAAAATAATAACGCAAGAAAATTCGGTTGCTAAATAAAGGCTCGTGTGAAGTGACGAGGATCATTACAATTAGTTGGCCCATCAAACTTTTAATCTCATGTTTTTTTTTTTCAAACCTTAGTGTTATGTAAATCAAACATAATTATAAGAAAAATACTAACCGTAGACAGGAGTAAATTCACTTTCGTTCTAATGTTAATGAACAATAATGTTATTCATTAGTAAAAATATAAATAAATAAAAACTCTAGTGATCCGAAGTAGGAGATATTTGGGACTTCCAAAACTTTCAAATCTTTATTTTTATATTTTTTTGACTAAAAATTGAATCGCTAAAAGCGTTAAAAAAAATATTATACTCCAAAATATCATAAATTTTTAAAGATGTATAATGCACATAGTAACCATATGGTAAGATGACAACTGGGGCGATTCTATTAATGAACCTAGGTGGTCCTAGGACCATCTAGAAGTTCAAAGAAGCGTCTGTGAGGACCTCCGATGACCACCCAAAATTTGGGCAGGTGGTGGAAAAGGGAAGATCACAATGAAGTGCAACAGAAGTTTTGAACCAAGAAGAAAGATCTAATTTTAGACGAAGAGGAACATAGAGAAGACCACCATGACTTTGTTGTTCTTGGACCTTGGTTCCAATGAAGGATTTTCTCTTTCATTTCCCACATGACCAACTTCCTATTTTTCTTTTTCTTTTTCTTTTTCAATTGTTATCCAATCATGTTATACCACAAATAGCATTTTAATTAATAAAGGTATAGTTTGTTACTCAACCAATACTTTTATATTATATGTTTGACACTTTTTTTTTGTCGAACACCTTTATTTTTTTTTAATTACTATAAATTCATACATCTGAAAAATATTTCGTCAGATTGATTTTTTTTTTTTTGTCAAACACCTTTATTTTTTTTTTTTTAAATTACTATAAATTCATACATTTGAAAAATATTTCGTAAGATATTGCGGACTAATGACCACTTAAGCTTTCATCTCATGTCATCAAATTCACTAAAGTACTAAAGCAAAAATTCTAATATTTTTGTATGTTACATGTAACGGTAAACCAATTATAATAACAAATTCTCAATACAAATATAGTTTTTTTAAGGCAAATAGGCACTCATTTATATGTCATAATAAATTTATTTAAACCTGTCTAGTCTGTTAGCCCTACCTAAATCATGTCTAGAGTCTAGACGCATAAGCCCTAGACAGCTAAACCTCAGTTTGATACTCGACTAGCATTTAGAGTACCTCGATTAAAACCATTTGATATTAGAATTCTCAATCCATCATCAATTCTCAATCCATCACCAGATGACAATCCACCATATCTTAGCTCCAAATGAAGCCCTTCACGTGTAGAGTCTTGATTTAGACGTGTAAACCCCCCATGGCCAAGTCATACATTTGATGTATACGCACACTATTACGCGTCCTCCTTGTCTATTTTCCATTTTGTCCAAGTCTTAGCTCCCAAGCAATGAATACAACTTCACTAGTATGAACCCTCCCAAATTCCACCGGACCTCCTACACCTTCTAGAAACCGCAACAAAATCCAACCCCACTCCACTCTCAATTCTCAAACACTGCCCCTCTCTCTCACTTCTCTCTCTCACTCCTCACTTTCTCTCTCCTCCTCTCCATCTGCCACATCAGCCCCCACTTCTTAACGCGTTTATGCTGTCATCACCTAACATCATCACCCCTACTTTTTAGTTCAAACTCAATAATCTCACGAAAATAAAAATTTCTTTTGTGATTTTCTTCCAATTTCGTTTCGAGAAAGTTAATTAAAAAATATTTGTATACGTCTGCCTTTGACAAATCAACACGCAATCTTCAAACCCCTTTAACTCTCAGAAATTTCCTCCTCTCATGATCCCAATAGTAAACAAATTATGCCCTTTATTTAGCAATCCACTCCACACTTCTCCCCTCACATTTTCTCACCTCCCCTGTTTTTCTCTCTGCTTTTCTATCTACTCAGTCTTCTCAATCTCCCTGCATACTGCATAAAATTCTAATCTTTCAATTACCCAGATCGATTTTTTCAGTTTTCTAAAAAACCCAGATCGCGATTTGTAGTTTTTAATCGAATTTTGATACAAAAATGGAGAACAACCAACAGTCGTTTTGGCAGTTCAGCGATCAGCTTCGAGTCCAAGCCTCCAATTTCGCAAATCTGAACATCAACGATTCGATTTGGAGCAATTCGTACAGCAAGAGGCCTGATGAGAGGAGGAATTTCGATATAAAGGTCGGCGGAGAAGTGAGTCCGATAGTTAATTTAACTCCGAAAGGGTCCGATTTCAACGGGTTCAACGACTCGTGGGTCGACAATCTGAAGCCGAAAGCGGCGTTTTCCGACGCGAACGGCAGTTCCAACGACGGATGGAACAGCTTCAAGCCGAAAGCTTCGGAGTTGAACAACGGATTCAACGACAACAGATGGAATAGCTTCAACCCAAAGGCTTCGGACTTCAGCGACAACAGATGGAACAGCTTCAACCCAAAAGCTTCAGACTTCAACAACGCTTTCAACGACGGGTGGAAACTCGGCGGCGCTGCCGGGTCGCAGAATAGCGCCGTTGGTCTCAATGGCGGTTTCAACAAAGGGATTTACTCCAAGCCTGCAATTCACAACAACGTTATGAATTTGAAGCCGTACAAGAACAAGGCCCACGAGGAAAATCAGATTCATGGCGGGAAAACTGGGAAGAAGAATAACAACAGCAATCCCGGTAAGAAGAAATCCGGCGCCGGCGCCGGCGCCGATGACAATAACAAGGATGGCAAGAGTGGCGTGGATAAGAGGTTTAAGACGCTTCCGCCGGCCGAGTCTCTGCCCAGAAATGAGACCATTGGTGGGTACATCTTTGTCTGCAACAATGATACCATGCAAGAGAATCTCAAGAGGGAGCTTTTTGGTATGCCATTCCCCTATAGTTTTTATTAATTTTTTTCCCCTCATATTTTTGCTCAGTTTATTTTTTTTTTCCTACAATTTTTTTTTTCTAAATTATTATTAGGTAGGGTTTGGATCTAAAAATTATTGTGAATTTGCAGGATTGCCTCCACGTTATCGTGATTCAGTGAGGGCGATAACTCCGGGGTTGCCCCTGTTCCTCTACAACTACTCCACCCACCAACTCCATGGTATTTTCGAGGTTTGTATTCCTCTGCAGCTGACATCTGTCCATTAGACTTTTAATTTATTTTATTTTTGAAGTGGTTGGAGTGGAATTTACTTGTTCTATTCAACTTTTGGCCATTCTTCTAGACGGAAGTTTATGTTCTTTGTTTGGAAGGAACGTCCCAACTACTAGTTTTACCTAATATTTGCTAAAACCTAACATCCTTTCTTGCGTGTTAATGTTTAGGCTGCGAGTTTTGGAGGGACCAACTTTGATCCGTCGGCCTGGGAGGACAAGAAGTGTCCCGGCGAATCACGCTTTCCAGCTCAGGTTCGAGTTTTTACTCGGAAAGTTTGTGAGCCACTCGAAGAGGACTCGTTCAGGCCAATTCTTCACCACTACGACGGCCCTAAATTCCGACTTGAACTTAGCGTACCCGAGGTAATGCCCACATAACCAAAGCTCACTACTTGGCACATTTGTGTGATGATAACACTCTTGTTGCTAATCCATGTATTACAATATGGGTTGACAGCTATTTTATGTGTTGTGTTTTTCGTATTAACGAATATACACGTGTTTGGATTAGTAACACCACGTCGCACCATATAATGTTGCACATTGATAGTCGTCGGATCATATAGCGAGTTGCATGTATTAATGTATGTTTGTACAATTCTGCAGGCACTGTCTCTGTTGGATATATTTGCAGACCAAAACCCTTGAACAACAACAAAATACAAAGGCCGCACATAAAATACAAGATATGAAGTTAGTGAAGAAAAGAGAGAATAGTGAACCGTAGGGCTTACATGGCACCAAATATGGATATAGTGCGTTGAGTATCTGGGAAGAGTTTTAGAAGAATCAATCAATCAGAAGACAGTGAATATATACATATAAAAATAGTGTGTATAATAATATAGTTGTATAATCTTTTGCAAAAGAACCCATATATAATTATGCTTTTGTCCTTTTTGTTTTTCTCTTGCAATGTATAAGCAAGTCCAGATGATGAGAACCGAATCCTTATGATGGAATATGAGGTGTATATGGGGGATGGAAAGAACTTGGATTATCGAAATATTACCTCTGTTACAGCATTTTTTACTTAGCAAGATCATGTTGTTTTTAATAAATTTGAATGTAATGATTTTAATCTAGACCGTCCATTACAAATGGCTTGTAAGCCTCAACATTCAAACTAAGAACACTTTGCTTCAATCCGAGCTGCACTATGATGCACTTCAATCCCCTTGATCTTTATCACCAACATATTCGTTAGTTTCGCGAGATGAGGCACCTAAAGCTTGTAGACACATATTATAAGCTCATAGACGCATATTAAACAAATTCGCCACTTGCCTGAGCTGCAACTTGCAAGCAGTCCGAACTGGTGGCGAAGTCTGCAGTCTGCTGCAAAGCTGACAGCCTAGAAATTTTTGGAAGAAAAATGTAGCGCGGCATTACAATTCTGTCTCTTGTCTTGAAATGTGCATAACTTGTTCAATACACGACTTTCCGTTTGCGTTTAAGTGTATGTAATAACAAGCATTGCGGGAATATGCTAAAATAATAAGTCAGTTTAGTCTATTGTGTGGTTAGTTCGCTGTATATGTTTAGGTATGGTTGTTATCGGCGACCTAGTCCTCCCTAGTTTGAGCAACATTTCGAACTTTGTATTTGTGGGTGAGTTTTTAACGTAATAATATGTTAATTAGTTTCTTTAGTTGCGTTATGATTGAAGGTATGTAATGTCATATCTTACTTAAGAAATAATAAAGGTCTTGTACCTTATCATTTTATTATTAGTTGCTTTTACAAACTATGACATGTTCATACTTGTGTTATATCTGCTCATCATGAATGTCTATAAATAAATGTTGGTCTGTCTTTAGATTGCGTTAGTTAGATGATTAAAACTTGTGAAGAATTTTCAAGCCTAACATGTAAACAACACAAATGAAGTGGCATGGATCATGTGTGACCATTAGACTTCATATGTAGGCTAACCTGCTTTGCTACCATGAAAGAAGTTGAAATGTGAAGAGTTGCTCAACTTCTTATAAGCACTTGCATAGTTTGATCATTCACCGACATGAAACTTTTTCCTAGTATTCTCACACTCTCCCCATCTTATCCCATTTTCTTTCTCTATTGTTGAATCCTTGTTATTTCTTTAGTCGGTAACGTTAACGTTACTATGATAACGTAATTTATGAAGTATTTTGACTAGCTCTCGAGTTTAATAAAAATATTGACTCCAAAACGTGACAAAAACGGTTGAATAGGCTTGGATATATTTATAATTGATAATCCAGATTCTAAAGTCTAAAAGGGTGCGCTACCTTGAAGTTGAACGTTCAGAATGTTGATTGTTTCGCACGGACCAGTCAATCTTTTTTTATTAAATAAGATGTTTTATCAAACATTATATTACATGAGTCAGTCATTGTGTGTCATCTTATAACCCGTTAATTATCTTCCAATCATACAAATTAGTGTCGGTAAATTTTAGCATATTGAATTCGTAGGCACAACTTCATGTTTAAGACTTTAAATTTTGTCATGGATTTTTGGAACAGATTGCTACAAATTGGAAGGCTGTCCATTTCTTCGGTGTTCATGGTCGCACGCGTCACTCTCCTCTCTCTTTTTCCTCTAGTCGGAACCAACAATAGGTCAATTCATGGTTTTGGGTAAATAGAGTTAATTGGAACAGATAGACCAACAAGGGTCCATAGCTCAGTGGTAGAGCATTTGACTGCAGATCAAGAGGTCACCGGTTCGAACCCGGTTGGGCCCTCCCTTGGTTTATACCCTTTTTTTTTGGTATTTAGTTTTCCTACCCTGAACTTTTTACGTACAAATCATCATCTTTCTTTAGCTGTTTTTGCCATAATTTACAAATCAATTTTACGAGAAATTGTATATTTATTAACTTCAATACAAAACCTAAGACAACGTTAGGAGAAAAAGATAGTTCAAACTCCAACATGCACAACACTATGTAGACGAGAAATTACAACGAATGTCATCATGGTTATATCTCATGCAATCACGCGTTACGCCAATAAAACTAGAAATATCAAATTGTATATAATTGACCACAACGAGAATTCCCATCGTGAGTATGCTTTTCTCGTGTCAAACCATGTTAAGAATTGGAATAAGAGGACCGTCAAGCCACGTAGTGGACCAACCCATCCTCGTTACACTTGGGGGCACCTCTCCCTCTTATCCCCAGAGTAGGATTCTCTCTCATTCCTTTCCCTCCTATTTAAACGGTTTCGATTAAGCCATGTCAACATCTTGTTTTGAATTTTTTATCAAGAGAAAAACACAAAAAGGAAAGTGTGAGAACAAGAGAGGGAAGGGGAGAGAATTAGGAGGGGAGAGAATCCTACTACCTTATCCCCAACCACCACCCTATAACTCTCGCCACACTCTATACATGGCACAAACCTGGTCCCACCACACCCATCACACGCTTTCCACCCCACCCTCTCTCCACACGTGACAACTTCATCATCCTATCAAATGTGCCCGACTCATTCAACAAAAACAAAGTTAACGAATAGCCCCTATACACAACCTATCATAAACACTTCATAACCCTACATCGCACCCAAATTTTCCAAAAATTCCACATATCTCCCCAAATTTCAACTAATTTCATCAACAGACATGCATAATTAACCCTAAACACTTAACTAATTAATCAAGTTCAATGGAAGTAGCAATGTTTATTTCTAGGGTATCAAATTTCCAAACTCATCAAATTTCAAATTGACTTTGAGGAAAAAGTATGACGCCGAGTATTGTGCAAGAACTCTGAATGTGACTTGAAGGAAGCAAGCACCATGTCCTTTCAGTCAAACCGATTGGAAAAAAGTTCGAACAAACTTCGCTTGAGTTTCAACCGCATGGTGATGAAGTTGACTAAGTTTTGAACGCCGTGCTAGAGATGACAAGCACTAGACAACTTCGACTAAGTTTCGAACAGGGAGGAAGTCGACTAAAATTTTTTTGGAATCATTTTCGAGAGAGTTTTGGGCGAGGGGGACAACAACTTTAAGAATGGTAACTGCTGTTAGGGAGAGGAAGAGTTTAAGTTGAAAAAAAAAAAAAAAAAATTGTTGTCAGGTTCTTTTTTGGACTTAATGGTTGGTCATGTATAACCCTGTTTCACCCTAAGCTTGTTGTGATTGATTTATTTTTGGCCATTCATATTAGATTCAATGGACCAAATTTGGTCCACACTTAAGATCTGTACTTTAGAAGAGCGTGTATTTCAAAGACCCGTGGACCCGTAGGAACTAGTCCGTTTGGGTTAAGTCCGGTCCTATTTTTAAAAGGGTTGTGCTATCCACACACCCTATTTTACTTCTCACACACTCTTGATAATTTCTGTCCGTTGATCTTCTTCAATTCATCCGATCCAACGGTCAAAATTTAAAAAGGTCTGTGAGAAGTAAAATGGGGTGTGTGGATATCACACCCCTTTTAAAATAATACGATCCGTTCTGCCCCGCCTTGTTTTTATTTTTTTATTTTTTTTTATTCCAAATGAGTCTGGTACAGTGTCTCTAAATTTAGGGCCTGCCCGTACCCACCCCTAATTGAATGCCTTCACTTCATTGTGCTGTCCCTCCATTTACTTGGGGGACCTCAAACTCTTTAACTCTTGTGTGCTCAAAACTCCTATAACAAATCTTATCTCTGTGCAAAAGTACTTGAAATTGAATTGGTTATTATATTAGCATTCACTTTTACATAAGTTTCAAATTTGATTCCCCATTTTAGTTAATCAAAACTCAGATCAAAACTGCACGTTAAATTATCGAAACTTCTCACTATTTTCCCTGTGATACTGATACATTGAACATATTCGTCAAATTGAAGAGCCAAACAGATGCCTATAATTTATACGGACTAAAAACCAAACACCTAACATTTGTAGGCAAATACAAATCCACGAGTCAAACTCTTATTCTATTCCTTTGCCTTGGATCAACTAAAATTTGAGCCTAAAATAAATAATTGGTCCCAATGTCCAACATTTCACATGCAACCGTTTACATATCCTGCATTGTGCTGAACAAAACTGTGGCATCCTTAATAAAGCCCTTGTAAAGTTCTGTGAAATTGCAACGGATTTTAGTTTCAACTGCCTGAACTAAATTAGGACTGATCCCAAAAGGCTTGAGGCGAAAAACTTGCATGGAAGAGCTTCATCATCCCCTTTGAGAACCATTTGTTGCCGGAAATCGTAAATGTGTTTGACATGGTCAGTCATGCCTTCAAACAGTTTGAACTTTGGTTGAGTGAATTTGCTAGGTTTTTTAGCTTTCAGAATGTCATCGGTAAATGACGACTTACAAATCCCTGTCACTGCTTCCACCGCAAGCCCGGCATGGGTCTGTGACTTATACAGTTCACTATCTTTTCGATTTGCTTCCGTAGTTCGACTTTCTTTGCATTCTTCAGTCCTTTCTCTCGGTTATCATTCTCATCCCGATCCTTCGTCGCTTTATTACGGGCATTGGAAGGTGCGTTGCTTAGCTCGGTTCACCGGTTTTTATGACATCCCCATCTAAAAGTTTATCTTGAATAATTAGGTGGCTCTTCGATATTATTTTAGGGTATTCGTTGCATATACCCAACAGGATCTACTCGCAGTAGAGGTCCTTAATTAGTATGTCCTTCAGAAACTCATCATAACTATGTCATTGAAACAAGGATGAACTATATGACATAAAACCAAATCTAAACCAATATTGTTTTATCAAAAACCCACAAGAATGTGTGTGCTCTCACAGGTAAAAAGAAAAAGAAAACAAGTTCGAGATTTAAGTATCATGCACCAATTAATACAAATCTAAGGTTGTGTGGTGCAAAAATTGATGTGGCATGTTCACATATACTGTCACATACGGTGGTGCGGTGCAAAAATGTGATATTCTTAGCATTATCTTAAACATATCCGTTCAAAGATGTTACTACGAATTTCAAAATAAATTTTTACTTGTTTACCTAATCTGTCTGTTAAGATGTAAACTTTAAGTGGCTTCCTTATATACATAAAGGGATTAAAATTACA